ATTACTTACATGAGGTCAGTAAAATCAAAGTTTGAGCTACTTTAGCTACTGGTGTATTTCCTTATCTTTATACCTACACTAAGAAAAGCTTGACACTTCATTTCCGGTCATAACCTAATCAACTCCATATTACCTGCCAGATAGTGAACTTAAATATATATATATATATATATATAAGATAGACATCACAATGTCACAACACAAGCACTGAAAAGCCCAAATAAAAGCAACAAAGACCCAATACCAATAATAATGAAAATGAACCTAAACTCGTTAGCCTCTCTACTACTATCTTATAATACCCAATTGACTTACTTAACTCTAGTAGCCAAATTAGTATTGCAAAAGAACTACAAGCTCCCAAGAATCCAACATTAAGTATAAATTACGAGATGGGTATTACAGGTCGGTCTTGCTTTCTTCAGCTTCTCCTACTAAATACATTGCAAATTTGATAGGCAAACAAATTACACCTATTTTCTCAAATTAACGAAAGGAAGGACTTTCAAAATTGGAATTCCTAGAGAATTGGAACAGATAGTTACAAGAAAATAAACCCCAAAAAAAAAAAAAAGAAAGAAAGAAAGAAAACAAGGAGCAATAAATACAGTCTGCGAATTTTGCTCTCAAAGAAAATGATTTCAGGGTCTAACCTTGAAGGATGCGAGAAACCCCGAAGGCTGAAGCTTTCCGCTGCCAAAGAAGCAAAGAGGCCATTTTTTTCTTTCCTTTTGGATGAATGCTAATGTTTGTTGAAATTACGCAACCAGTCGTTGTAGGAAGTAGGAACCAAACGAGAACCAAAAGCCCCAAGAAAACGAGAATTATAATTATACTACTGAGCCGAATTCTAAGGAGAAGCATCTGGAGAATGGAAGAATTGCAGGTTTCCATTGCGGGACGCATTCTCCTGAGTTCGCGCTTGTGCCGAGTGCGCTCAGGACATGTTCATGTCCTGGCTCAGAGAAAAAGGGAAAAGAAAATAGAAACGACTTTAGAAGTCAAACAAACCGGATTCAAATGGGCTAAAGCCCAAAATACCGTTCCATAATTCCATATCCAATGTTGCTTTGAGCTAGAACTAGGGTTGGGCATCATGTACACGGGTATCTTTGATATTTGTAGGATATATCTGATATTTGTAGGTATTTGATTTGTTTAAGTAGGTATTTTACTTGTATTTGTGAATAAACAGTTAAATATCAAGTATGAAAAGTGCATGCCTGCTAAGTATTGGGTAGGTATTGGGTATGAAGGTTAATATATACATACATAACCTGTATACCTAACCCATATGTAATCTAGTTTTATATGCTTAATTTGTAATATAATGTTATAGAATTAAAATGTTTATTTATTTATTTATTTTTTTGTGATAGTGAAGATTCAATTGAAAGAAAATTATGTGAATTTTTATTTGTATGTCTTTTGTTATTGTATATATAAACTTGTGTATGCGTAAATGTATATACTCACGTATTTTGTTTTATATATAAACTTGTAGTTGTATATTAACTTATATATTTTCAATGTAAAATTTAATAAGTATATAAGTATACTTGTAAGCATACTTATACCAAACAAATTAAGTAACGAGTATAAAATTTCAATATTCAAATAAGTACTAGATATTGAAATCTTATACTTTTTACTATTCAAATCAAGTACGAGTATGAGTAAATACTTGACCCATTCCTGTCCATGCTCACCCCTAGCTAGAACTTTTTAGGCCTGCAACTTCAATCCCTCAAAACCCAATACCATTTTGGCTAATAAAGTAAGGGAAATGGAAGTCCAAGAGTTGAATCTATTAGTAAGTAAGTGTGATCTTATAGGTTAAATTCAATATTCAAATCTTGGGATTAGTACTTAAGAAATTAATTTTTTTTAAATGTATTAAATTGATATAAAGTATGCAATGCCCTTAAGATCACCAAAAGAGAAATTAATCTCAAAAGACACAAAAATTAACTCGAAAATACCCCAATCATAAAAAAAAGAAAAAAGAAGAAGAAGAAAGTAAGGGAACCAGTGCATTTGTCAACAAAATCCTCTCTGTGCTCTCTTGCCTCCTCTTCCATTTATTTTTTTAAACCAAATATATTCTAAGCCCAAAAAAAAACAAAAACAAGTTTGGTGACTTTTGTCTAAAGCTAAAATAGGCCCACGTATTGGACATAATTGATGGCAAAAAAAGAAAGGAGCCAGGCCCAGGTGGGTCAGCTCGAACCCAATCCTTGAGGTTGGTCCTGGTGGCCATATAGCATATGTCGTGCCAAGAGGACAATCGAAATCGAACTATTGATGAAAGAGATTGCATGTGGGTTATGTTTAAAGTGGGTGGGTGCTATGCTGAGACTGAGAAATGAGATTGACATGAACATGTGAGGAAACAATTAAAGGTTAAACGTACCAAACATGCCCCAGATACTTTGAGTAGGCCAAATAGGTGCATTTCAGCTTCGCAAGTTTGACGATGGTGCCGTTGGTTTCCATAAAAAAAAAAATGCTACCTCTAACTTTGGGAGGATATTTACGAAGAAGGACAAGATTTTTGACAGACACCTCATTTGATTTGATGTCCAATTTTTTAGGTCATATTATGTGGTTCTGAGTTCTTGACCCATTCTTCTATAGTCTCATTACATTACATTTAGGAATTTTCACATTCATTTGTCTTTCCTCTCCATTTCCTTAATTAACCAAGACAGTCCTTGATTGGTTGGAAATCTAAATTTCCAAAACAAAAATACTTTAAAAGATGAAATATCAAAGTCTCAATAAGTTTTAAATTTAAATGAGTATTGTCATTTACTATTAAGTAGTAATAATATATAATTCAAATTTTATTTGGAGCCCTGAAAGCAACTTGTTAGTTAGAATATTACTCCAAAGTCATTTTTGTTATTTCTAATTAAAGAGGAAATAATAGGGGGATGGAATTTGTAGTATTTTCTCTTTTAAGAATATTCCTATAAATAAAAAGAAGGTTTAAGTACTATCTTGGTCCCTTAACTTTTTACTTTCGCATCAAAATTGTCCCTCAATTTTAAAAAGTACTAAAATTATCCTCAAATTTTCATTTTCGGTACTGAAATGGCCCTTCCATCAGTTAAATGACAGGTGACTCGTTAAAATGCCACAAAATCATTAAACTTTTTGAATCTTAATAACGTATAAATCCAACTAAGTTTTATACACGGGGCATATTTTTTTACGCATCATATTATTACCTTTTTAAATTTTCCTTTTAATGGGGCCCACATGACATTTTTTTTTAACTTTTCTTATTCTTTCTCTCTCTCCTCTTTTCCCTCTTCTTCTTCCTTTCCAGATCTGGGTTTGATCAAACCCAAATGTGGGTTCTTTCAACCCAGTAAGGACAATGATGCAACACCATTTCCCAAGCCGATTAGAGAAGCTATTGAGAGAACAATCGATGGCATGTCCACTCCAGTCAAGTACTTGAACATCTTGGAGCTTTCACAGTATCGAAGAGATGGGCATCCTTCTTTTTATGCTAGGAAGCAGTCTTCTTGGTCGGATTGCAGCCACTGGTGCTTATCGAGAGTGCCTGATACATGGAATAGGCTGTTGTATGCATCCATCATCCTAGGCAGCACCATAAACATTTCTTCTCCATTAGATGCTTCATCCCCCTCTTGAATTGTAAGAAGAATGGGTGATCCATAAAGATGGGTTGGCCCACTGACCATAAAGAAGTGGATGTTGAAACAGTTTTCGTTGGTCAAAACTGGAACTGTTGTTGTCGGTTTAGTTTGAACGGGAACAATGCTATCCATGGTTGCATTATAGTGCTGTTGAATCGAATTTTGGAAGTCAAAATCCAGATCTGGACTGGGTTTTTCTAAGCTACCGACCTTGATTTTCTCTTTTTAAGCTTTCCTTTTTTTGGGTTTTTAACTTGTTTTTGAAATTGCATTCCATTTGAGAACCCAACTCAAAAGGAAAGGGATTTTTCATTTTTGTTTTTTGTTTTTGTTTCTGGTTTGAGAAAACTCAAATCTGGATTGAAAACCTAACAAATTTGATTTGGGATTAGAGAAAATTGAGGGATTTGTTAGATATAACTAGATCCAAGAGTCAACATCGGATCCAACCGACGATTGAGTATGGCCGATTCCAAAGTAGATCCCAAGCACCATGACGGCGAAGGTAGCCGAAGTAGAGATTCCCCTTATCGACGCGGCAAAAGACACATCGTCGTCCTTAAGTCGAACTTGGTAGGATGGGAATAGAGAAGCTGGAGGTCCTTGAAATTCTTGAGAAGTAAGTTTTCGATCTCAATTTGGATTGGGAGTTCCTAACCAGTTCGGTTCCATCCTAGATCTGGGTTTGAAACCCAAATCTGGAGAGGAAGAAGAAGGGAGAAAAGAGAGAAAAAGAATAAGAAGAAAGAAGGCTGATTCAATTTTGCAAAAAAGAAAATGTAGGTGAATAGACATTTATTCATTTTGTAAATTGAACAAAGGAACTGGGTTTTAATTTATGTGATGAAACCCAAATCTGGGTTTGAGAAAAACCCAAATTTGGGTTTGAGAGAGGAAGAAGGGAGAAAAGAGAGAGAAAGAATAAGAAGAAGAAAGAAGAAGGATGAGCAGGAAAGAGGAAAAGAGGAAGAAGATGAAGATTGAGAGAGAACTCAGATCTGGCTTTGCAGATGTATAGGAAAAGGTAAGGCAAAGGAGAGAGAAAGTGAAAGATGAACAGGAGATGACGTGGATGGGAAAAAAATCATTATTTTTAAATTAAAAAAAATGCCAACTCGTAAAAAAAATGTCAACTATATTTTTTTTTTTTCCATGTCATTGGTTAAGAAAAAAAAAGAATTGATTTGCTGGCATTTCAACGTGTCACTTGTCATTTAACTGACGAAATGATCATTTTGGTATCGAAAATGAAAGTTTAAAGATAATTTTGGTACTTTTTAAAGTTGAGGGACAATTTTGGTATCAAAATAAAAAATTGAAGGACCAAAATGGTACTTAAACCTAAAAAGAAATTCAACTGCCATTAAATGCAACTTAACAAATTTTTTTTTTTATGTTAACTATAACTTAACATTATTTATTATTTCATTTGTGTAATTTATTTTCTGGTCCTGCTAGCAAACATTCTCTAAAGCCTGTACAGCTATTAAGCTTAATTTGGGACCCGTTTAGTATAACGGTTTTAGAGTATCGGTCAGTGATTTTGCCTAAACCGTTAAATATAAGTATTTGGTAAACTTATATATTTTGAAACTATTACAAATAAAGTATTTGGTAAAAAATTTTATTTAGCAATTTAAAACTAGCGGATAGCGATTAGAGTCCACGCCAGTAGCAAATTGAAAATACTAGTTTAAATAACTTTTTGTATCAAACTACTAGCAAATTGGAATTTTTTAATATTATTGAAAATTTTATCTTTTTTAATTTTTTAATTTTTTTTTACAAATTTTAATTCATATTTATCTAATAAGTTTCAATTTTTTTTACTTTTAATAACATTAAGTGAATATAATATTTTTATTTTTTTGCATTAATTTATCATTAAAAGTTATATTATCTTAAAAAAAATTTACCAATTAGACAAAATGATTAATTTTTATTTAAAAATAATATAATTTTTTTGTTAAAAATAAAAATGA